CTCATATTTGCTCACACACACACAGCACAGTATGAATGAAAGGATTGCTGGATCTCCCAGTAAAAGAGTGTCCAAAATATTCTCATTCAGAACTGAAGACCAGACCACACCCATGGGCAAGAGGAGACGCAGGAAAGACGATAATGAAGAAGATGATGATGAAAGTAAGATACATGTACATAATTATGCATGTACATGTAACATGTATCTTAATGTATATTAATGTACATTAACACATGTTATTCATTTTTATTTATTCTTTAGTTGTTCTTCCTTCTGATCCTCTAACCACTGATGGCCCCACCCTCCAGCACCTTGGAAACAAGAGACCACGCCCACCAAGACGTAATCAAAATCATCCGGCAGGTCTAAAGAAGGCAGTGGAGACAGGACCTTCCTCAATATGGGACCTTCCAGCCAGTGATGACACTGATAATAACAGCACTCCAGTAGAGACTAAAAAGTAAAATTTATAACTGTGCATATGCATACTTAGCCACGGCCACAACTATATTAGCCACGTCCAGTCTAATAAATAATTGGAAAATAGAGAGCTTTTATAAGAACATGTAAAGAGTGCAAATTTTCTTTTTCTGAAATCACCCTCGATTTTTTATTACATTCTCTGATACAAACTGCTGTCCTTGTGCTAATAAAAATTTTGTGTTAATCTGACTTAAATTTTTCAAGATATATGGCCATTAAAAAAAATCAGCCATTTTTTGAAAAAACCCCTGTACTATAGCCCATGATTTTCTCCAAAAATGGCTCCAAAATCAGCCCAAATTTTTATTACATTTTCTGATACATATTGATGTCCTTATGCTGTGTAGAAAGTTTGAGCTGATTCCGACTTTAATTTTTCAAGTTGCTGCAGCCATTTTAAGAAAATGCCAAAATTCTTAAAAATACCCTGTACTATAGCCCATGGTTTTTTCAAAAAATGGCTCCGAAATCACCCCAAATTTTTATTACATTTTCTGATACATATTGATGTCCTTGTGCTGTATAGAAAGTTTGAGCTGATTCCGACTACAATTTTTTGAGTTACGGCCATTTTAAGAAAATGCCAAAATTCTGAAAAATACCCTGTACTATTATTATTATTATTATTATTAGTAAACTTTACAATACATACTATAAAATGTGACAAAAAGAAAAGAAACAAAAAAGAGATGTATCGAAGGCAAACACAGTAACAAGACTGGCCACCTAAAATTACATAGTAAATAATAATGCTAGAACATAAATAAATACATGAACAGAAAAACATTTAGACACAATTGAAACAAGGACAACAAAAATGAAACGAACAAATTAAAGAAGAATCAAAGTTATTTACAAAGTAATCAGTAAAAGAGTGTGTTTAACATAAGTTTAGATTTATCTAAAGAATTATT